GAGCTCAGCGCCGAGCCTGGGTCCCTCCCCACCTGACACCCGCCGGATCCATTTTAGTGCCAACTCGCTGCCTCCCCTCCTTCCTCCCAAACTCTGGCCGTCCCGGGAATCAGGCATCCTGCTCTCGACCCCCGTCCCCCATGCTCGCCGACTCCCACCCCGAGACACAGCCACAAACCACAGCGACCGGCAGCGAATCTGAGTTGCTTAGTAACCAACCCGCGTGCCCCGGGAGGCGGAGACTGAGTCCCGAGCCGGGGTGGAGATGACAGGAAACCCAAAGAGCACCTCAGCCCACCTTTCCCTCGGCTAGGGAGGGGGCGCGGCTGCTTTCAAGGCCCAGTTCCCACCTCACGCCCCTCAGCTCGGGCAACGCGTCTCGCCCTCGCCATCTCGTGGCGACGCCGGGAAGGTCAAGCACACAGAATGGGCTGGGAACGGGAAAGGACACAGCGAGGCAGGACCAGGGATGGCGAGGCCGAGGGATGAAGATATAACCACCCATTCGTGGAAAGTACTGGAGAGGAACTCCAAGTGGCCCCGGGACCGGAGACCCAGCCCGGCCTAGCCACGTGCGACCGCCTAGGCCATCTCACTGACCTGTCTGCAAACTCTGACCTTTAGCTGGGCCCGCCCCGCCCTATCTTCGCGAAGGGGAATCCCAGCCCAAGAGGGACGGGGAGTCCTTTCGGCCCCTCACAACACCCAGAACCAAGCCGTCTGCCCCTCGGCTCTCCCGGCACCCGGGTGTCCTGCGCCCCAATCTTCTTCCCAATGCCTTTGCCGAGACCCAAAAGTCCATCCCCAGCTCTCCTCTGCCTGCGACTCAGGCGTCCCGCCCGCCCTGGGAGGAGATGGTGTCCCTCTTTCCAGACGCCCTCGCGGCTCCCCGTTACCTGATTCTAGGTGTCCCAGGTGTTCAGATTCCCCGAGGTCTCCCAGGGGGTCGAGCGGCCCCCCCCTCTCCCAGGTCGGGGCTGGGGGGGCCGCTCCGCCCCGTGGCGCAGTTGGATTTTCCAACACAAACACCGCCCCCCAACCCCGCCCCCTTCTCATGGTCCCGCCCCTCCTCGCGCCAAAGTACCCCCTTCTCGGGCTCCGCCCCGCCTCTTGCCGGTGCCTTTGGCCTCAGCGCAAGTGCCGGAAAAGATGCCAAACGTGGATTGCAGACTTCGGGGTACAACGTGCGGGGTCCAGCCCCGATCCTCGTCTGTCAACCCCCCCCGCCCCCCCGCCCCCGTTCCATTTGGATCACGCGCCTTTCCGAAGTAAACCCCGCCCCCGGTCTAGTCCCGCACTTAGACTGAGCCACACCTTCCTAGGCCCCACCGCTCGGCCCATTCATTCGAGGCCACGCCTCTGCCTCCAGGCCTCCCACCTCCTGGCTGCTTTCCCCCTCGTAGCCGCTCAGGTCCTCTGTAAGGCTTCCTCCTCAAACCCCAACATCCCACTGAAAAACTGGAGGCTGTCGTCACGGGTGTTTTATTGCACTGAACCCAGTACAATTCTTCCGCCTTTGTGGCTAGCACACTAGGTGTCTCCGGGGCCCCATCACACAACAAATTCAACCAGGGTCAAGGCTTGAGGGAGGTCCAGCCTCGGCCTGAGGTGCGTCGTCAGCTTTGGTTCCTAGAGTCCCAGTCCTCTCGCTAGCGGGGAAGAAGAGGAGGCCTTCTCAGTTGTCCAAGTTCATCAGTAGAGCGGTGCCCCTCTTGATCCAATGGTCAGACGTCATGGTGCCACACCGGAGGTCGATCCCGATGACAAAGGAGGCTCTGTCTGCGTTGCCTGCCCGGATGGTATAGTAGTAGCAAGGACAGGAGTACATGCCTGAGGGAAAAGACAAGGAATCAGACCCCGGAGCCTCGGAAAACAGGGCAGGAACCTGGGTGCAGGAGGGTTGCAGCAGAGGATGGGTTAGGCTACAAACTAGGGATGGGGTAGGCAGGTCTGAGGGAGTGCCCCACCCTTGGCGCTCTTCTTTCTACTCTCCGTAGGCCGGAAGTGGATCGTGGGCATGAGGCAGACAAGCTGCATGGGCTCTGCCTCCACCAAGCAGGAGCTCTTCCGGTCCCAGCCGGCACCCTCCAGGTACAGGCCTCGAACCCAGACACCATCCTGGGGAGACATGGGGACAGGTTATAGGAAGTCGAAACCACTGATTGCCAGCACCCCTGACCTGCCACCTCTCTCCTCCCTACTCAACCAATTGTCTCCCACCTTTGCCTCCAGCACCCTCCTCCACCATTCCCGCCTTTGCTCAGAGCCCCCAGCACATCTGGCGCCCACCTTGGGTGGATACACTAGGTTGCTGTCATCCACAGTAGAAACGATAAACTCCCAAGAGAGGCAGTCCACTGAGATCTGGGATTGAAGGTGAGAATCAGGGAGGACCCCCGAAAAGTAGAGTAACCACGTCCCCAGCATCCAATCCCTGTAACACTTCCCACGTGGCTCACGTTGTTTTGGCGAGCTGAAGACTGCAGTACAGCCGTGAGGAAGCCAGTGGGGAAGGTGAAGCCAGACAGCCAGAAGATCACAGGAGGCCGGGCACGACTAGCCCACAGCTCAAACTGTTCCACGCGCAGGGCCAAGTCCCGGGTCCATGCAGCCAGTGGCTTCTGTGAGGGATATGCCTGGAGGAGGCAACATTATGTGTTCATTCATTCACTTACTCATGCATTCAGGTCCTATTTTAAGCATTTGGAGCAGATGTGAGAAGAACGTGTGATGCCAGCCCCTGCTCCCCAACTGAAGTTGGGTAAAGCACTCCAAAAGCCAACCCCCAGAAAAGAAGCATAAAATGACAACTATTACCAACAATAGCAACAGCAATAGTAACCAGTCACCATTAATGAAGCACCTACTAAGTGCTAGGCACAGTACTGGGAATCCTTGAAACATCCTTGGAGAAGTTAATAACTTGCCCTGAGTAAGATTCTAAGTTAATATCTCATGCCAAGTCAGTCAGAGAATGGCAGATTTCAACAGGAACTCCTGGCTCCAAAGCCCAGGCTTATTGCGTTTTGCTCTATGCCTACCAAGAACCAGGAGGTGAGGGCACAGGGAGGAGAGGAGAGCTCAGTGTTGGAGTAGGATCAACAGTGGTGTAATCTTGCCTTTCCCCAGAGTGGAGGGACGTGGGCATCAAAGATACAATTGAAGATCTCTTCCAGGCTTGTAGACATGACGATGAGACCCTGGATGCCCCTTTCCAGGTCCGTCAGCGAGAACCTGGACAGAGAGGGTGGAGGGTTAAAGATGGGATGGGCCTGCAAGACTCCTCCTAGGCAGGAGGTGAAGGCTTTCCTTCTTCCCCGGCTCCCCACAGTCTGCAGAGCCCCTCTCCATCTCACAGCATGGTCTCCATAAGCTTGTTGTATCTCTGGATCTCCTGCAGAAGGACTACATTGAGAGGGGAGGGGTCCAGAGCCAGCAGTTTCCGGGTCCCCTCATAGTCGATCATTTCAGGGATCTTCTGTTTCACATCAGCGGCCAACTCAAGGACCTGGTGAGGCAGGAGCTCTGAGCGCAGCCCTCTCTTTCTGATGGCGTTCCCTCCCCAGGTGTCTGTCTGTTCTTACCTTCTCCTCTCGGCTCTGGCCTCCAACCCTGGAGGGTGTGATCTGGGGTTGCAGGGAAAGCAGAGTCTCAAAAAGAGTCCGCGCCTCAGTGATCTGGGAGGCCACGTCTGCATTGGGGTGCTGGCCAAAGGCCTCAGGGGGGTCCATGCCAGGCAACATGCTGATGTACTCCTTGTAAGAGGCCAGGCTCCCATCTTTGGGGATGAAATAAGTCTCCAATACTGACAACCTGGAGAGCCACAGCATAATTATCGCATTGTGAGGACTCCGGGGTTTCAATGCCAGGCCAGGGTCCCGGTCCCTACGTATGTCCCATTTGCCCAACTCTGTTCTTGCTCTTCCTCCCAATCCTCCACACTCTGCCTTCTTCCAATCTCATATTCTCTCCTCAAACACTCCCCCTCCCCTCTGCCACCTGGTGTCTCCGTGTCTGCTGGCCCCCCGTTCAGTGCCGCCTCCCCCTCACCGGTAGAAGGGGATTGATAGAGACTGTTCACAGAAATAGTCATTGATGTAGGTGGTGAGCAGGCGCCGGTCCCAGTCATCCGTGACGTGCCCACCGTAGTTGATGCCGGCAATGAGGTACTTGAGCGCATCCCAGGGTGTCTCCTCATACTCATCCAGATAGAGGCTCAGCAAGTTCTCTGACACCTGTGCGTGGTCCCAGCCCAAACCCCCACACAGTTACTGTAGGAACTCTTCCAGTGGGGCTCCTTTTTTTTTTTTTTTTAATTTTCCAATGGAGCTTTAACACAGACTTTTTGTAAGTGGATTTTCCTGCAGGGGAGCCATGAGGCCAAAAGGATAGGAAGATAGGGCTGGGATAAGGGACCCGTTAGAACAAACCTCAAAGTCAGAGTCATTGAAGCCATAGATAATGTTCCAGCCCAGCTGCAGGAACTTTTTGCGTTCGAGTAACACAGAGTGGAAGAAGCAGAGTGCAAACAGCAGCTTCTTATACTTGGCAGGTTTGGAGCAGCGGGAAAACTGTGGTTCTGTCATCAGCTGGTAAAGACGGGTCATGTTGGCCTTTAGGCCCTGAGGACAATGAAGCACAGAGAAGGGACGACATCATCGAGCTCAGCTCTGCCACCAGCACCACCGTGTACAGCTGTGGAGGTGCTCGCTGCACAAGGGCCCTGCCTGAAGGGCTGAGTGGAGGCTGAAATCTAGTCCTTGATCTGCACTGCATGCCATGTGCACTCAGTCTCAGGGCTGGTGCCTCTCTCTGATTCACATGAGGCACTGTATGGGCTAGTGGCAGCCCTACCTTCTTGTTCCCTCACTTTTGAACCTCTCAGCACAGTGTTCTCAATGATGGATCGGCCCACTCAATTTGGAAGTACCAGAAAATAGGAACAAAGACCAAGATATACATACAACTTTTAGTGAACAAAAATGTACACGATATTATGTGCAAAGATTCAGTGCAGATTAAAAGGGCCGTCGTATATCATTAAGGAGGAACATTCTATGTGCTTGGATTTATCAGGCTTCATGAATAAGCTGGGATTTGAGCTAAGTCTTACAAATGGGAAGGAGATAACTAGGCTGAGAGGAGAGCCCTGGTTTCCAGGAGATGGAAAGAACTGAAGGGAAGCCCTTGCTGGTTTGGCTCAGTGAATAGAGCAGCGTCGGCCTTTGAACTGAAGGGTCCCGGGTTCAATTCCGGTCAAGGGCACATGCCCGGGTTGCAGGCTTGATCCCTTCATCCCTATTTTTTAAAAAAGCACCCCTTAAAAAAGAAAGAAAGAACAGAAGGGAAAAGGCACAAAGGGGAGAATAAGTGAGAAAATGAGTCTAACTGAAGTCAAGTGTAAGTGCTCAGGTCGGGTAAGAAGGGCCATTAACAGATGGAGGTACAATAAGAATGATAGTTTGAGCCACTTGGACTTGATTCACCGGGCGTCATGGAGACATTTGCTGTCTTGAGTAGAACATTGATATGTTGAAACAGTGTCTTAAGAAGACTCTATGATGGACAGAATGGAGGAGTGAAAACTGAAGTAAGAATATTGGAAGTAAGAACAAAATATGATTTTTAAGTGCCATTTATAATAACAAAATATGTAAAGTATGAATAAAACTAATAAAAATGTACACATATTTATAGAGAAAATTATAAAACTTATTGAGCTAAAGAGTAAATGGAGAGACATACTATTCCCATGGATTGGGAGGCTCAATATCCTACAGATGTCAATTTCTTCCAAATTGGTCAATAGGATTTTTTTTGGTGGAATTTAACAAGCTAATTCCAAAATGTATGTTGGAGAGTAGCATAAAGAAAAATAAGGTAAGGAGACTTGCCTTACCAGCTACCAAGAATTATTATAGAGCTATATGGTAAGTAAGATAGTGTATAGTGATCCTAATATAAACAGCTTGATCAAGTAACAAAATTAAGGACCCAGAAAAATATATATTTACAGAGAAACATGACCTAAGGCTGAGCAGACACATTGCAGATCAGAAGGGTAATTGTGGGCTATTCAATAATAGTACTGGGAGAATTGGTTATCCATGTGGAAAAATATTAGACCTTTACCTTATTCCACACTCACAAAATAGATTTGAAGTGACTGAAAACCTATATGAAAAAGTCAAATTATAAAATTGTTTTCAAGACAAGTATAAGAGAGTGCCTTTATAACCTTGGAGTAAGCAAAGATTTCTTGAACAAGACATAGGTGCACAGCCCTGCCATTGTGGCCCAGTGGTTGAGCATGGACCTATGAACCAGGAGGTCACGGTTCAATTCCCAGTCAGGGCACATGCCTGGGTTGCAGGCTCAGTCCCCATCTTTCTCATTATTGATGTCTCTCTCTCCTCCCTCCTTCATCTCTGAAGTCAATAAGAATATATTTTAAAAATAATTTCCAAAGAAAACATTTAAAAATACTGGTTTGGCTCAGTGGATAGAGCAGCGTCGGCCTGCAGACTGAAGGGTCTCAGGTTTGATTTCGGTCAAGGGCACATGCCTGGGTTGCAGGCTCAATCCCCAGTAGGGGGCATGCAGGAGGCAGCCATTCAATGATTCTCTCTCATCATTGATGTTTCTGTCTCTCTCTCCCTTTCCCTTCCTCTCTAAATTCAATGTAAAAAATATTTAAAGAAAACTTAATAATACTGGCTTCTTTGTCAGCTTCCAAAAGAAATCCAGTTGCACCAAGTAAACCCTGAGTGTCCTACCTCTGCTGAAGATTTGGTAGATCAGTTTGAAGATCGCAGGGAGGGCCTGCCTTTCACAGAAAGCACTCCTGGGCAAAGCCAGACGGACACTCTCCCCTCTGAGCCACTACACAGGCCATGTTAATACGGGTTTTTATCTTGACCAAAATCAATGAAAAGCTACTAAAATAGTTTAAGCAGGGGGTAAATAGGTGGGATGTAGCAATGTGATCAGATTTTTTCAATTAAAAAATGAAATATTGCCATTTGAGACAATATGGACAAACCGTGAGAGTATTATGCTAAGTGAAATAAATCAGAAAAGGACAAGAACTATAGTATTCCACTCATGTGTCAGATATAGAACAAAAAGTAACAGACAAAACAAAAATACATCAGATACAAACAACATGGTCAAATTTTAAAGGATCATTATGATTGCATTCAATGGTGACCTTGTCATTTTGGAGATAAAAGTTTCAATAGAATTGGAGAGAAGGAAGGAGAAAAGGGCTGGGAGCCCAGCAAATGTGACATTGGGGAGAGAATGTATGGAAATCTTGGGAGACAGGAAGGTTCTGTGGACTATTTATTTACTCTTCAGTGCCTCATTTTCCTATCTGTAAAATGGGTTAATAGCACTTACCTGATAGGGTGTGTGTGTGTATTTAATGACTTAATAAATGTGCATCAATTAGAACAATGCCTGGCACATAATAACAATAAAAATCAGATATTACTATTATGTCCTAAGAGTTTAGCACAAAATTTTTTACAGGACAGTAAAATCAAAATGTGTTGTTGTTAAGGGTAAGTAAGCCCCCTCTCCGATGCTACCAGAAGGAAAGGCAGGCCAGATGGAATAGCTGATGCTGGCTTTCTGCAGCCGCCCATACCTTTGGGGGTTCTGTGGTCATCTTGATGCTGGCCTGTAAGATTGAGATAGGGAACTCGGGGTGGGGACTGGAGCTGAGCCAGAGGCGGAAGGAAGGGTGAGGATCCTCCACCTGCAGTCGTTCTATCAGTTTGTCCAGATTAGGCATCCACGACAGTGACAGGTGGCAGTTGGCCAGGAACACCCAGTGTCCTGCAGGGAGACACCGGATTCAGTGGGACCCACTGCCTAAGCCCCATCTGTCCCCACACTGTCCATCTCATTGTATGTGTGTGGGAGGGGGTGTCAACATGCTCAGGTCTGCCACTCCGGGGACCTTCTGGAAAAGTGGGAGCTGTGGTTATGGTAGTGTGACCGAGGCTGGAGGCTCTGGTGAGTGGGACCAGGGCCAAGGATGGGGGGGAGAAGAACAAGAATGCACTGACCCTGATACATGCCCTCTCGGAGGAGCCGAGCAGCAATGGGGGCCTGGCCCTGGCCCAGGGACAGGGAGTGGAAACGCTGAGCCATGCCCGTGTGCTCTGCCAGCTGGAGCAGGGCACTGGTGGGGTCCACACCAGGGGACAGGATGAACACCAGTGGGGTTCGTGGGGTTGAATCTTCCATCACCTGCCAGGAGCACAGGGTATGGCCTCAGCAGAAGGCCATGCGACGTGAGTGGGAGAATGAGATGGAAGGAATGCAGGTGGCAGACTGGAGCGGGGAGAGGGAGGACCCAGGGATGAGGTGGGCGATGTGGGCAAGGAAACCAAGCCACTGACCAACTTCATGTTTAGCACAGGCGGTTCAACAAAGCGGGAGCCGAGGTTGGAGACAATGAAAGAAGTAACACAGAACGCCACGCGGTCCTGGCGAAGGGAGCGAACAATCAGCATCCGCTGCATCTCGTTGCAGGCATTGTCCCACTCACCTGGGGAGGAGGTGAGTTGTTGCAGGGAGAGGCTGGGAGAGCAGGGAATCTGAACAAAGAGGCACCTGCAGGGAATGCTCTGCCAGGAGGCAGCTGGCTGAGGGGAGCTTGAGAGAAGGGCTAGAGAAGAAAGGGAAGGGCACACACAGGGGCTGAATGGAGGGAAGGAGAAAAGCAGGAGTGGGGAGGCCCAAACGCCGGGGCACCTGGCAGCACGGCCTTCTCGGGGGTGGAGTTGGTATACCACTGGTGCCAGTCACGAGGATACTGTTCAAAGGAGTTCATGAGCCCGTGGAAGTTGGTTAGTTTGTCTAGCTCCGTGATGTTATCCCAGTAGGCATCTGCGAGCCAGCTAGTACATGGGTTATCCATTTGGCCCTCCCGATCCAGAACCTGGGGGGAAGGAGACAGGAGAAAGGATTGACCAGGAGCACCGACCCCATAAGAATTACCTTTTTTTTAAAAAAAAATGGACAAAGATGAGTCTTGCATGAAACAGAATGAAAAAATGAATACAGGAATCCAAGATGGATTGGAATCCACCTTTATTAGGGGAATAAATGTGGGGGTTTAAGTCTCTCAGACACTGCAGGGATCGCGGTTCAAATTTAGGGAGCTTGCGCCCTCTGGTGGTTGCCTCTCCGTGTTATTTACCAACTGGTAGCCTCACCCTCTGGAGAAGCTCAAACTGTTAGTTCATTCATTTGTTCGCTCTCTTTAACAAATATTTCTTATTCACCAACTGTAAGTTTTTTAAGCACGTGGGATACATCACTGGACAAAAAGGACAAATATCTCTGCCCGTAAGGAGGTTTTCTTCCAATGTGGGAGGGCAGATAATGAACCAAAACATAAGTAGATTATCTAGTATATCAAAGATTGTCCCGGTGCCATGAAAACAGAGACCAAGCTGAGGAAGACGAGGAGGGTTGAAGTCCTGGGGGGCAGTCTGAAGCATTAACTGAGAAAGTCAAGGAGGTCTTCACAAGGTGCGATTTGAATCAAATATTGGAGACGGTGAGAAAGAGGGCAAGAAGGTATGTACACCTGAGGGTGTAGTTTCCTGGGAACAGGAACAGCCAGTGCACAAGGCCCTAAGTGGGACACACTGGTCACAGACAGCAAGGAGGCCTGTGCACCTGGAGTGGGTGGTTTGAGGAGCTGGACGGTAGGAGATGACATCAGTAATGAGCATCCGTTTTAAAAGAATCTCTCTTGTCTCTATGCTGAGAGACCAGGGGTGGGGGAGTGTTGGAAGATTACTGCTAAAATCCAGATGAGAGGCGAAGTAAAGGTGTCAAGACAAATGAAACTTGTCCAGAGGGTGAGCGACTGACTAGCCCAGGGAAACGTGGTATCGGTGTCTGTCAGTTTCAGGGCCCAGTTAAGGTTCGTGTGGGTGTTTCTCTTCAGCCAGGTTCAGCTGCACGGGCCACACGGGGACAGTGGAGCTGGATCTAACCAGAGTGGCAGTTTTGCCAAGTAAATGCAACACAGGGGGCAGGGCGGGGGAAGGGGTGGAGGTGCTTGCAAGGAAAACTGTGTCATGGTGACCATGCTGCAGGCTGGGGAAGGAGTGGCTTGAGAGGCAATGAAAGAGTTGCAAGATCATACCAACCAGTGGGTCACAGGTAAGAGGGGCCCCCAAGTCCCACCTGTAATGTGAGAAGGGGGCGCACTGCAAGCCACTGCCATAGCCCGAAGGAGCTTGCCATGCCCCTGCTCCTGGCAGCTCTCGGCGCCCTCGCTGGAGACGGGGGCCTTACCCTCTGGGTCTGGAGGCTTCTTCAGACTTGCCACCATCCCCAACCTTGACCGCTCCGCACTCGGATGTGCCCTCTATCCAACTCACCACACCGCCACGCAGAAAGAAGTTGTACTCATCCATGTTGAGCTTGCCAGAAGTTTCCAGGATTTTGGCACACATCTGGAAACTGAATAGTAGCTTGTGGCGCTCAAAAAGGGTGCGGCAGGTGTACCTGGGAGGAGGGGACAGGGAGGGTGGAGGAGGAGGACACTCAATATGAACGCCTACTGAGCGAACATCATACAATCAGTCTTACACAGAAGGACCCTCATCAGCATCTAATTCAAACCTCCCATAAACAGCCAAGCACTCAGGGACCTAGAGAGAGAGCACATGATTTTCCCCAGAGTTCACTGGTAAAAACAATCATTTGTTTCTATTAAAAAACACCCAGCATTGCCCTGGCCGGTGTGCGCAGTGGTTAGTGTCGGCCGGCAGACTGAAGGGTCTCGAGTTCGATTCCCTGACAAGGGCACATACCTGGGTTGTGGGTTAGATCCCCACCTCAGTTGGGACACGTTCGGAAGGCAACCAACCTATGTGTCCCTCTCATTTCAATGTTTCCCTCTCTCCCTCTCCCTTCCTCAGTCCCTTCCACTTTCTCTAAAAAGTCAATGGCTACCTGGGTTGTGGGTTAGATCCCCACCTCAGTTGGGATGCGTTTGGAAGGCAACCAACCGATGTGTCCCTCTCATTTCAATGTTTCCCTCTCTCCTTCTCCCTTCCTCAAACCCTTCCACTTTCTCTAAAAAGTCAATGGCAAAAATATCTTTGGGTGAAGATTAAACACACACACACACACACACACACACACACACACACACCAAACATTGACTGGACCCTTCCTATGTGCCAAGCACTCTTCCAGGTCCTGGAGACACAAATATGAATGTGCCAGAGTGTCTGTCCTGGAGGAAATCAGGTGGTGTGAAAAGGGCAGGTGGATGAGAGAGGCCACTGATTGTGCAAGGATGTGATGAGTTCTATACTGGGTGACAGTGCCATTAAGAGGTCACAGGATAGGGGCACCCACCTGTGGGTGGACACAAGGGAAGTATCTTGGGGAAGTTGCCCTGAGGTGATGCAGAAGAGGAAGAGAAGGGAGGACTCCAGGGAGAGCTCAGAGTAGAAGCAAATGCAGACCAGGGGGTTGGGGGAAGCAGGCATGGAAGGCAGTCAGCACTGCTCAGGCATCCAGTGGAAGGTGGGGAAGGGTGAAGCTGAGCAGGCGGGTGGAGGACAGGTCACGAAAGGCTCCACCCGTTTCAGCCGGGAGTGGCATGGGCAGATTGGTGTTTGGAAGGCTCTCACGGACGCTACAAGAGGACAGATCGGAGAGAGACAGTTAGATGCAGGATGCCCTGTTAGGAGATGGTTGTGCAATTCAGAAAGAAAGATCATGAAGGTCTGAACTAAAGTACAGGTGTAGCCATGGGGAGAATTGGGAGGGAACAGTTTGCAGAAAGATTCACGAGCAAAACCTGGTGACTGATCTGAGAGGAGAAGAGTCAGGAAGGACGTTCACTCTTCCACTTTTTGGGTGGGGTGACTGGGAAGTGAATGCTGATGCCAGTTAGGGATGAGGGCCTTGAAAAGGGTAGATGATGAGTTTGACCTGAAACAAGCTGAACTTGAGGGGTCTGTGGGGTGTCTATGCAGAGAAGTCAAGTACCTTGTTACTCAGTGTGACCCATAGACCAGGAGCATTAGACATACAGGACCCCAACTTACTAAATCTTAATCTGTATTTAACAAGATTCCCTGTGCTCTAGAAGCACGTTACTATTGGAGAAGTGCTGGTATAGTAGACAGTTGTACACACAAGTCCAACACTCAAGGGAGAGCTAAAGATATAACACTGAGCAGTCAGCCCACAGGTGATGGTTGGACCATGACAGTGGATAAGCTACCCAGGAAGGAGTATGGGGAGGAGAGCAGGGGACCAATATGATGGCCTGAGAAAGCACCAGGGCAGAACTAGCAGGAAGGGTAGGTGTTCGAGTCAGTCACTTGGCCTCCTGCCTAGGGCATGTAGGGAGGAGCCTCAGACCTGTAGACAGCATAGGTGTGGTATTCATTCAGGTAGTCAATGCGGTCCTCCAGCTTGTTGCTGCGATGGCTCTTGTCAATGCTGAGGATAAAGAGGCTGATGTAGGCATCCAGCGAGAATTGGTACATGGGGTCGATGCGGCCCATGTCATTGAGCACGAAGAACAGGACTGATGCCCGCTGGGCACATGGACGGTAAGCCTGCAGAGGAGGCAGAGTCAGGGGCCACAGAGGGACATGCCAGGTGGCAGGAGCTTAGGGATGGGAGGTTCCTCAGGCCAAGATTATTAGAATTGCATCTTGACGGCTGGTGGGGGCTGGGCTGGAGGGCACAGGAGCTCACCTCACGGGCCAAGTCAATGTTGATCTCCGTGGTTTCACTGGTCTCCAGCTGCTCAGTCACCTCCGTGGCCGTTAACTTGGAGGTCTGCAGGGTGTTCACCAGCTGTACATCATCTAGCAGGGAGCCTGTGGCCTCATTCAGCAGCCTGGAGGGAAGCCAAGAGGCACATGGATGGAGCGGGCAGGGACTCCATCAGCCCCCGGCGTGCTAGTTGTGCCAGTGAGTGGACCAGTGGAGGGTGGAGGCAAGGTCTCACCGAAGGATCTCATCCTCCAGCTCCTTGAGCTTTTTCTTGCCAGCAGCGATGTTGATGACTAGCGAATCCTTCTGCTCCTCCAACTCAGGACGCTCCTTCCGGACCACGATGCCCAGTAGTTGGGCCTCCAGGCCCTGGAAGCACACCAGGACTCATGGTGAGAATGTCACTCCAGTGACCTTCACCTTTTGCACCCCTTTACACCTCCGAGCCCCTTAGACCTGCCCAACACAATCTTAGCCTTTTTCTCGATCCTGCCGGACTCTACAGCCCTGCCTGCTTCCCCCTAGTTCAGTCTAAGCATCAGCCCCGCCTACCTGTTCTTTGACTGCGAAGTTGACAATGGTGGTCTTGGCTGATGTCTCTGGGCTGTAGTGGGGGTTGGAGAGCTTGGTGGTGATGTAGAAACGAAAATTGGGATTGTATTCTACCTCCTTATCTCCAATGCGAATCAGCAGCCGACCACCTGTACCCACAAGAGGGTCAAGGGCAAGGACTCCATGTGACCAGGTGTGGGCTGACCCATTCTTTCCCCTACCAGCATCCAGTGGCAGTGACTCAGCCTGTCCTAATGGCCCCAGCCCAGGGCTGTCTGAATAGAGGGACAGATACTAGTAAATAAAGGACACAGCCAAAGAGCCAGCCTGTTCCTCCCCAGTGTCCCACTTGGCTGGTCCTTGGGATCTGTCCCACAGTCCAACCACACAGTAAGTCTGGGCCCTGACCAATTCGAGCTACAGATTTGTTGAGCACGGTGTTGAGTGTGGGGTCCAGATATTCCTGCACATTCTGGAGCAGCACTGGGTATCCAAACTGGATGGCGTTTTCTAGGACTCGAAGGTAATCGGTCATCTGCAGGTCAATGATCTGAAGGCCCTAGAGAGCAAGAAAAACGATGGAAGAAACACTGAGGGATTCATAGGGAAAAAACGGCCCAAGGGTAGGACTCAGGAAGAGACAGGCATGGGAAGAGCTCCTAAGGCAGCGGTTCTCAACCTGTGGGTCGCCAACCTGTGGGTCGTGACCCCTTTGGGGGTTGAACGACCCTTTCACAGGGGTTGCCTAAGACCATCGGAAAACACATATATAATTACATATTGTTTTTGTGATTAATCACTATGCTTTAATTATGTTCAATTTGTAACAATGAAAATACATCCTGCATATCAGATATTTACATGACGATTCATAACAGTAGCAGCATTACAGTTATGAAGTAGCAACGAAAATCATTTTATGGTTGGGGGTCACCACAACATGAGGAACTGTATTAAAGGTTGAGAACCACCGTCCTAAGGGGGTACAACCAGCCCCCAGCCTTATACCTGGTTTCCTTCCATGTTCTTGATCCACTTCAAGGCCTGGGCCTGAGGATCAATCATCAGTGCCCACCTGAAGGAGGAAGCATCCGTCAGAAGACAGGCTCTGCGCTTACTCCTCCTCATGCTCCCGGCAGCATCCTTACCTGTTGCCACGGGTGACGATGATGCCATTCTCAGTGGAGAAGGCATCTGAGGGCAACCCTTGGATGTTCCAGTCCCGAACTTTGGTAGGATTGGACAGGAAGTCATCAAAGGTGAAGCGAGGTGAGCAAGGAACCTGAAGCTCCCAAATCTGTGTAGGGAAGAGCCCCAAATTTCAGTGTGGAGATCTGAGCTCAGCAACCCTGCCCTTTTCTGATATCTCTTATTACTCCCAAAGGCCCTGGTCTCAGAGCCCAAGACCTCGCTCATCATGCCTGAGTCTCACCTTCCTGATCCAGATCTGGTTGACAATCTCATCCCGGTAGTTGGTCAGGAAGGGTCCCATGTAGGACAGGAAGGCAGCTGCCAGGAGACAGTCACCCACCAAGTAGCCCAGGTCCTCTTCCAAGCCCTGGCGGACAGGAGGGGAGGAGTGAGCCTGTCAGAGCCCCCACCACTGGGAGAGACGGGAATGCTTTGAAGGCACTCTCCTCTGAACAGTATCTGGATTAAAGAGATTATTTCCCTCTCCTAAACCTTTGTGCCCTGAGAGCCCTAACCTGGTTCTAATTACTTTTCAGTTCCCCATCTTTGACAGCAATTCTGTTTACATTCTGGTGATAAGGCCTAACTCTCTCATGACACCAGGAGCTCACTGAAGGTAGAGAGACAAGATGCGCCCTGTTTCTCTCCAGCCAATGTGCTGTAAAAGGGTCCCGGTGTGTGCTTTGTAGCTCTGCCTAAACATAGCAGCAGATCCCTAATGGTACCAAAAATCTCTCCTCTCACTCTTCTCGCCAAATGTGAGGAAAGGGAGAGGAAGAACTCCCATGCCCTATTTTTGGATGTCCCTATACCCAGCTATCCCTGTTTTCCCTGCCCCTTAACCTAAAGGGCATGGGAGCTCTTGGAACTAGTTGGCAGGGAGGAAGGAGAGCCAGGTGGTACATCTGACCTCACCTTTACTGTCTCCTCCCATCGGGCCTTCTCGCCAGCCAACCCAGACACCAACATCCCAGCTCGCTCCAGCTTCATCTCCATCTCCTTAGACTTCATGCGAAGGTCCTCTTTCTGTGCCAGCTTCTCATCGTACTGTTTCTTCAGCATATCCAGTTTCTCAGCCACCTGGGAATAATCAGGGATAGGAATCAAACACAGGGCTTGGGGCCAGATTGTTCTGGATTCAAATCACCAATCTGCTATTTTGTGGCTGCATGATCTTGAGTAAATTGATCTCTTCAAGTCTTGGTTTTCTCCTGTGCAAAATAAGAATTATAACACCTACCCTATAGGGTTGTTGTCAGGAGAGAAAAAAGACAGGGTCACTACTCGCCCACAGATGTTAGCCACATTCTCCAACTTAAAATATGTGTGATGAGTTTTCTTTTCCTCCCCTCCACCACTCTTTCCTTGAGCCCAGAAATTACTTAGTAATGAAACTCAAAGCTGGGTAGGAGACAGACCTCTTGTAGCATAAGAAATGACACAGATATGCTGGCAAGAGAGGATCGGAGCGCACAAAAATGATTGCCACTCCATCCCAGGAGCCATACCCAAGACGTGATCTTGAGAGAAAAAGAAAAAGCTAGAAACGAGCTCAGGAATTGTTGGAGAGAAAAAGAGGAGTCCACTCAAGGACAAGACCCAGGTCCCAGGTCCCACGCCAGAGACAGGGACCTGGGAAGAGCTTTACCTGCGAGAGAAGCCTCCCTCAATTCATCACCACCCTCTGGGCTCTCCTGAGGTTGAAATACATCATTAAATCTGAAGTAGAGGACTGATCCGGCCTTTTCTAGGGCCTGGTATTTGCCTAACAGGCGAATAATAATTGTGTGTTTTTTGTTTGTTTGGTGTTTTAAAAATATTATTGACTTCAGAGAGGAAGGGAGAGAGAGATAGAAACATCAATGATGAGAGGGAATCATTGATCAGCTGCCTCCTGCCTGCCCCACACTGGGGATGAAGCCTGAAACCTGGGCATGTGCCCTAACCAGAATCGAAAGGTGACCTCCTGGTTCACAGGTCGATGCTCAACCACTGAGCCATGCCAGCCGGGAATAATTGTTTTTAAAGGCTGCAAAATAATCTTGTGTATGACTTAACCATTATTTTATATAACAAGTCTTCTACTGATAGACATTTGTGTCTTGCCAACATTTTCTATTAATGCTGCAATGAATGTCCTTGTAGGGGCATAAGCACATGTTGATGCAATTTATTTTTTATTTTAATTTTGTTTACTTTGTGAATAAGCAACTTAAAAATTCAAAAGACATAAGGTCATGAGAAGTCTGCCTCCCAACCCTGCTCTCCATCCACCCACTCTCTTCTCAAGCTAGCCAATGTGACATGTTGCTTAAATATTCTTCCAGGGGCATTATCTCCACACACAAGTGTATTCTACACTGTTGTTTCCTGGATTATCAATTTTAGACTCTTTATATTGACTTTATGCTATGATAAATGACGATTTAATCTCTTATGCCTACACATCACCACCCTTTTCTCTTTATTCCTAATAGTTTTAGTTCTACTGGTGACCCTTATCACTTTAAATGACACATCGAAACCTCGTTTTATAATATCTGCGAAAGCATTGCCTGATCTCTCCCTCAGCCCACCACCAGCATTCACCTCCCAACTATTTTAGCTGTGCTTTTGTTCTTACATTGTCGAAGTTAACAGCATTCCCACTCAGAACCCACAGTCTTCTGTGCTTTGTCATTAGGTTGATTATAAAGATCAAACACCATAAACAGCATCGACATAGGACCGGGGCTGGTGCCCAGGATGAACTGGTGGCTGGCTGAGCTGCTTGTGGCTAAGGCACACTCTGATAGGTCACTGTGCATGTTGAACTGGTTGTTAAATATTTTTCTGTTCCCGCTGGTTGTACATTTGCTCTTTCAGAAATTCTTGTTGGTGGGATTGTGTCTGTTATAGCTTTCTTATGTTTTAGACTTTTTATTTTTTTAAAAATATATTTTATTGATTTTTTTTACAGAGAGGAAGGGAGAGAGATAGAGAGTTAGAAACATCGATGAGAGAGAAACATAGATCAGCTGCCTCCTACACACCTCCCACTGGGGATGTGCCCGCAACCAAGGTACATGCCCTTGACCGGAATCGAACCTGGGACCTTTCAGTCCGCAGGCCGTCGCTCTATCCACTGAGCCAAACCGGTTAGGGCTAGACTTTTTATTTTTGTTTTATATTCCTTGACTCTATCTTCCCACCCTTCTATTGAATGACTGTCATACTTTGATCATTTTAAAATTTCCCTGAATCTTTCTTTTTCTCTGTTTGAACTCTTCCTCTTCTCATCTTATTTTTGTTTTGTGGATGTCATTTCTTCCTTAGGTTTGCTTTTGAAGTTCTTCTCTATAACCTGAATAATCTCTAGATTTAGTTTTTCTTCAAGGTTCACGTTTTGTTATAATTTTTAATCTTGGTGGTTCCCTTGCAGGTCTTTACACACCCTTTCTCCAGGGGAGGTGTGTGACTGATCTGATTGGTAAAATTGGAAAGAATCAACTGGAAGTGCTCAGCGGAGCTCAGGCCCTTTCCTTTTAGGAGTGAGCACAAGTTCCACTCTGCCCGCCCACAACGCCTGAGACCCCGTCAATCTGTCTGAATACAGGGTCACTACTAGTGGGGCCAAGTCGCCCATAGATGTTAGCCATGTTCTCCAACTTAAAAGTAGTATTTTGGACTTTTTCTTTCTTTTTTTTTTTTTTTAAATATATTTCACTGATTTTTTACAGGGAGGAAGGGAGAGAGATAGAGAGTCAGAAACATCGATGAGAGAGAAACATCGATCAGCTGCCTCCTGTACATCTCCCACTGGGGATGTGCCCGAAACCCAGGCACATGCCCCTGATTGGAATCGAACCCGGGACCCTTCAGTCCACAGGCCGACGCTCCATCCACTGAGCCAAACCGGTTTCGGCGACTTTTTATTTCTTAACTTGTTGAAAACCCATGCATAGAAGAAGGCTGCTAATTCTTGGACCCAATCAAGGGTATATTTGCAGACCAGAAAACCTATTAAGAAGCTTTGGGCCGAAACCGGTTTGGCTCAGTGGATAGAGCGTCAGCCTGCGGACTGAAAGGTCCCAGGTTCGATTCCCAAGGGCATGATGTACCTTGGTTGCGAGCACATCCCCAGTGGGAGGTGTGTAGGAGGCAGCTGATCGATGTTTCTCTCTCATCGATGTTTCTAACTATCTCTCTCCCTTCCTCTCTGTAAAAAAAATCAATAAAATATATTTTTAAAAAAATAAAAAGTCTAAAACATAAGAAAGCTATAACAGACACAATTCCACCAACAAGAATTTCTGAAAGAGCAAATGTGCAACCAGCGGGAACAGAAAAATATTTAACAACCAGTTCAACATGCACAGTGACCTATCAGAGTGTGCCTTAGCCACAAGCAGCTCAGCCAGCCACCAGTTCATCCTGGGCACCAGCCCCGGTCCTATGTCGATGCTGTTTATGGTGTTTGATCCCTTTGGCGGTCGAACGACCCTTTCACAGGGGTCGCCTAAGACCATCCTGCATATCAGATATTTACATTACGATTCATAACAGTAGCAACATTACAGTTATGAAGTAGCAACGAAAATAATTTTATGGTTGGGTCACAACATGAGGAACTGTATTTAAAGGGCCAGAAGGTTGAGAACCACTGTTTCTATCTCTTCCTTCCTCTCTGAAATCAATAAAAAAAATAAAAAGAAGAAGCTTTGGGTGGGGCTCATGAGCAGCCTTTGAGGTATGGGCAGGTGTTTTGACTTGGGTGATTAGAGGTTCATGTCAGGCCTGCAGGTTTTTACACTTGTGTGGTTGACTTTTAACTAATCTTGCCTGGGTGAAAGGCTTTAAGCCGATCCTGAATTATTCTGACCTTGGCAGATGACTGTGTCTTTGTCCATAGGTGAGTGGCTGTTCCTACAGAAGCAGGACTGTTTAAAATAGTGGCAAAAGAAAGATGTGGGCTTCAAGGATGGCCTTCACGAGGTATAGCGGTGCTCTCAGGATAAAGGCTGCTATAGCTACAACACTAATATTGCCGACGAGGTTAAAGTAGGGTTAGATTGTTTTTAGCACTGATGGGCAGAATATCAGATTTTTTTTTCTCATTAAACTTTGTTTTAATGGGTCTTAAAATTCTGTGACTGATTTTTTGGTAAAGTTGTTCCCATTTAAAAGTACTTTTTTAAAAAACTAATAAACTAAAAACCTGCCACACACACATAAAAACCAAATGGTCCACAAAACATTCTCCTTTCTGAAAGTTTTACGACGCATTAATCATTAATCAGTCTTTTACTATTCAACTTAAATGGCCAGTTGAGACCAACAGTTCTGAGGCCTTTCTTCCACCACCGAGCAAGATGGGGGTGGCAGGTGTTGGGGGAAAATGCGTTTAGCTTTCTGGGCAGACATGGTGACTTTGCCAGCTCCAGCTGCCCTCTTGTCCACAGCTTTGATGACACCCACAGCAACTGTCTGTCATGTCACGAACAGCCACACGGCCCAGAGGGTCAGAGAAGCTCTCAACACACATGAGCTTCCCAGGAGCCATACCAACAATGGCAGCATCACCAGATCTCAAAATCTTTGGGCCATCTTCCAGCTTTTTCCCAGAATGACGATCGATCTTCTCCTTCAGCTCAGCAAATTTGCAAGCAACGTGAGGGGTGACAACCCAGCACAGGTGCGTATCCAGCACTGATTTGGCCTGGACGGTTCAGGGTAATCAACTGAGCTGTGACGCCAGCTGCTTCCGATAGTGGGTTATTGTTGCTGTCACCAGACACATTGCCCCAATGAACATCTTTGACAGGCATGTGTGTTTTTTTTAATATGTTAAGGGGTATGTTAAGTTCTTTTTTAAATTTTTTAAAATATATTTTTATTGATTTTAGAGAGGAAGGGAGAGGGATAGAGAGATAGAAACATCAATGATGAGACAGAATCATTGATCGGCTGCCTCCTGCACACCCCCTACAGAGATTGAGCCTGAAACCTGGGCATGTGCCCTTGACAGGAATCAAACCTGGGACCCTTCAGTCCACAGGCTGACGCTCTATCCACTGAGCCTAACTGACTAGGGAGACAGACATGTTCTTGACACTGAAGCCCACATTGTCCCCGGGAAGAGCTTTCCTTAAAGCTTCACGGTGCATTTCAACAGGCTTCCCTTCAGCTGTGACACTGACTGGAGCAAAGTCACCGCCTGCCGGGTTTGAGAGCACCAGTCTCCACCCGGCCCACAGGGAAGGACCCATGCCACCAGTTCTGCAGACACCATGGAGGGGAAGCTGCAGGGGCTTGTCAGTTGGACCAGTTGGTGGCAGGATGCAATCCAGAGCGTCAAGCAGCGTGGTTCCACTGGCATTGCCATCTTTATGGGCAACTTTCCATCCCTTGAACCAAGCATGTTAGCACTTGGCTCCAGCATGTTGTCGCCGTTCCAACCAGAAATTGGCACAAATGCTACTGTGTCAGGGTTGTAGCCAATTTTCTTAATGCAGGTGCTGACTTCCTAAACAATTTCCTCATATCTCTCCTGGCCATAGGGGGGCTCAGTGGAATTCATTTTGTTAACAGAAACAATCAGCTGCTTCACACCCGGTGTGTAAGCCAGACGGGCATGCTCACGGGTCTGCCCATTCTTGGAGATGCCTGCTTCAAATTCACCAACACCAGCAGCAACAATCAGGATAGCACAAGCAGCCTGAGATGTGCCTGTAACCATTTACAGCTAGGACCTGTAGTACACACAAAACCTAATGCCTTGCCAGTTAAAAAGCAATGGTTTTTTAAATATAGACTCTGTGTCCTGAGACATCAAAGATGGTCACATAAAACTTGCTGGTCTCAAATTTCCACAGGGAGATATTAGTGGTGACACACATTCATGTTCAGCTTTCAGTTTATCCAAGACCCAGGCATACTTGAAGGAGCCCTTCTCCATCTCAGCAGTCTCCTTCTCAAATTTTTCAATAGTTCTTTTGTCAATCCCACCACACTTGTAAGTCAGAGGGCCAGCAGTGGTAGACTTGTCGGAACCTACATGTCCAATGATGACGATGTTGATATGAGGCCTGTCCTTTCCCATTTTGGCTTTTAGTTGTGGTGTTTACGACACCTATGTTCTGGCGGCAAACCCATTGTGAAAGAGAGAATATTAGGCCTTTTAACTGGCAAGGCATTAGGTTTTGTGGGTCTAAAGGTTCTAGCTTTAAGTGGTTATTGCCAGGCCTAGGTAGACAGCACTAGGTCAGCTGTCCTGTTATTCAACTTCTCCTCCAGGCTAAGGAGGCAGTTATGAAGAGACTAGCCTGGAATCCATGTGGCTTATCTACAGGCAGATGGGGTGGAACTATTGTTTTGGCTGCGATTTCAGGTGGTACGGGTAGGGTAGCAGGCATGCAGGTATTACCTACAACTTAAGGGAACATCCCTGAGCAAGTTAGGGGATTCAAAAAGGAGCAAAGCCCTGCCTTGGCACACAAACGGCAGAGGACTTGTTCCCCACAAGGCTCCAGGGCACGGGCCTCAGCAGCATCAACAGCAGCTTCGGTTCAGGAATCTGCTGATGGTAATATTCCAGTTAGAATACGTATGGGGACGAGCTGAAACCTTCCCTGAAAGGCAGTTTTCAAAGACCTCAGCAATCCTACAAAGAAAGCAGCAATATTAGCCACTGTGGTACAGGGCTGACCCTACCTGCTCACAACCCAGAGCGGGGAACCCCGAGCTCAAGGGGGAGCTGAAATTGAAAGGATATACACAGGGTGACCATCTGGAGTGATGAAAAGTTCCGGAACAAGATAATGGTGACGGCTGCACAACATGGTGAATGTAGTTCCTGCCACTGGCTTGTACACTTTACAATGGTTACAATGGTAAATTTTATGTGTATTTTACCACAATAACCCCCTCCTCCCAAAAAAGAAGATATGCACATGTGTATTTCCAACACCCCCTGTGCAGGAAATGCGCAGTGACTGCATTAGAGCTCTCACATGAGTCTCTGGTTAGAAGTTTCTCCCAGTTTAGTGATGTTCACGGGTCATGGTTTCCAGATAACTGACATTCTGGTGATGCTAAAACAAAGATTTTCTCCATGTATCCTCATGCCTAAAAATACCACTGAGTTTCCACTCTGGTCTTTGGGGCAATAATGACTGGTTTTCTGGGACGTAATTTTATGTGAAGGTCATGAGTGCCTAACTGACTCCTTGAATTCGAGCAATGCTCCTGAGAAACTTGAATTTGACCGAGTGTAGCCTCTGAAGTCCTACAGGAACCACGTCATTTCCAGTGAGTGACAGGCCTGATTATAATGTGAGGAGCCTGAGACTGATCCTGAGAACCCCTCTAGTGGAGACGGAGCAGAATAAGAAACTGGGGAGGATGGGTTAGGGACTTTAACTTAAGAATGTTGGCTTCTAGATTTTTAACTCATAAAATCAAGATAATTTGATTTCAGATTTTAATTTACTTGGACTTTAGTTTACAAAGATTTAATCTCTGAAATCTAATTTCTCCCTGAGGGTTATATTCAAATTTGTGGAATTTGTGTACTATTATTATTGTAGCGTTTTAATGCTATCATTTAATCTTACTCCATAACCTCCAATATACTATGTTGAAATGTGACATAGCTTGGAGTGGGAAAGAGGAAAGAAAGTGAATTTTCAACCTTGAGTAAACAATTGCCTTGAAGTAGATTAAGATTCTGTCTAGAAGACCCATTTGAGGGCCTCTAGGGCAATTTCTAACCAGTGGTTCCTAACCCTTGTTGCATGTCAGAATCGGGCCTATGACACATACATTTTTCAGGGCCCCAAACAAGTGAGTAAGGATTAAAACTGCTTACTCGAGATTCGGATTGACAGGCCCATCAGATCTCTGGCCCTAGAGCCGATGTACAGGCTTCCCACCTCTGGCTGGCTCTGACAAGAAGCCTTTCAAAATGCTGATTTCCAGGCTCTGAGGATCACTGAGGACCAAAGATTTGTATGTACTTGGCCGGTGGTGGAGCCCAGCCTCAGCACAGTGCTCTCTGCAAGTGGGTGGGAAAGGGTGCCGGATACTGGGCACGTGCATTTGGCTCTTACATGTCAAAGCCTATGTCACAGTAACAAAGGAGAAGTGTTGGCCCCCTGTCTGCTTACTCTTATCAAGTAGGGCTTCTCAAGAGGCCTCACATCAGGCGCTCTATGAATATTTGTCTAATGAATGGTATTGCTGGCAGCTGACCCCAGAGGACCCATGTTTTACATATAAAGGAAACAATCCCTAATTATTTGGCCCGGGATATGATTCACCCAGAGGTGAGAAACCTTTCCAAATAGATTGCCACACCTGTGATTACTCATGTGTGAAAAAGAGAGTAAAAGAGGGAAGGTCTCATGTGAGGTTGGGAGGTGACAGTGGCAGCAGGAAAGGGGCAGTGGGGGAGCGTGTGCAGGCAGAAGCCCGCTGCCCAGCTGGTTGATTCTGCACAAACAGAATCAGAAGAGGCTTCAAGGGCAGCTTCACTCCCAATAGCAAAGATGCTGCAACAGGAAAAGACTGGGATGACTGTGGTAGCAATGGCCTTGGAGTCAGGAAAGGCAGGTTCTAGCCCAGGTCTGTCAGTTATGAGCCAGTCACTTAATCTCACTAACCCTTGGGCTCCTCATCCGATTTGAGGATGTTGGACCCGGACCTGGCTATTTCCATAGTTGGTTTTGGTTAAAACATTTTGAAACAGTATGACCAGCTTCAGTTACATGAAATTTTAAAACTTCTATATAGTTCAAGATAGCATCAGCAAAGTTTGAGGACATGTGTAGATCAAGGAATTGGAATCAATGAACATGCCCATCAAAAAGGAAATGGTTAAGTAAATGATGGTATAGCCATCCACTGGAATATCATGCAGTGGTAAAGGAGAGCAGAAACTCTTTATGTATCAATATGGAACAATCTTCAATGTATAGACAAATAAAAAAGGAAGGTGCAGAACAGTATATATAATGTAAAAGATTAAAAATATATATTTGTTTATATGTGCATAGAACACCTCTGGATGGATAAACAGGAATTTGTAACATTGGTTGCTTTCTAGGGAAGGGAGCTGGTAGATAGCGAGCAGAAGGTGGGAGGGAGACTTCTTATTGGATACTCTTTTATACATTTTGAATTTTAAACCATGTGATTGTATTGCCTATTAAATCAATGATAGAAAAATTAAATGATAGGCTAGAAGAATTTTGAACTCTTGATAATAGCACTCTACCTTCTGTCTTGCTTGAGAATTATTTGTGCACATACCTTACAGGAAATCACCTATTGGGTTATCTAAACTGTTCACAGTAAGTAAGCGCCTCTACTTCTGGGACAACACTGTCCCTCCTACGTATTCGCTCAGACACCCTCAGTCCACAGCCTGCCGGTCCATAGCAGTGATGTCGACACTCTTGCCCTATTCCGCATCCCCCTTCCCAGCAAAGACCGATCTGCCACACAGATCTCATCAGTTAGTATCTCAGGGCCCATGGTCAAGGCCATGACAGAGACAGGCAACTCCCAAGTCAGTTTTGCAAGGACTCCTCAAGGGCCAGTGCCCTCTGTGCCTTTGTAACCTTCTGCAGTCGGCTTAGCTTTCTTAGCCAGAGGCAGCCCATCTAAACAGGGCATAGAGTGGGAGGCAGACAGGAAGGGAGAGGGGGAAAGAATTAGATGGGGAGAGATGAATGGTAACGAAGCATCCCTGAAATCAGGAGAGGGACCACAGCAGAAAAGACTGGCATGAGGCTCACCTCCCGCAGCTTCTCCTGGGCCTCCGCCAGCGCTGCTTGCTTCTCCTGAAGCTGGGCCAGTGCAGCATTCATTCGGATCCGCTTGGGCTCCACCACCCGATACAGCCGCCCGTACATCTGCAGGGAGACAGCCAGGCGGTGGGGTCGCCCACCCACCCACTAACCCACCAGCGGTCCCTTCCTTCCCACCTGGGTCTTCCACTCCCCCAGCTTTCTCCTATGTGCATCCCCCTCTTCCCAGGCCTGCTTCCCTGCTCCCCTCCCCACCCCGCCCCACCTCACGCCTGCTTACCTCCATGGCCCGTACCCACATGCAGAGGGACTTGGCAGCGAGTGAGACGCGGCCAATGATGTCAGGCTGGAAGTCGGGCTGGGCGCAGTAGGCCCCGATCTTCTTCAGAACCTTATCTGAGATATTGTCTTTATCAAAGTTGATCAGTGATTTGATGAAATTCTGTTCCCCTGTGGGATGCAAATCAGGGCCTCAGCGAGAAGGCCTAATGCCTCCCTCATTGTCCAGGTTGCATCTCCACGGCTTAGGCATGGCCCTGTTTTCCCTCAGCCCAGTTCCCAAGGCCAGAATAACTGACTTCACGTTCCTTCTGCTGACCGTGCTCTCTCCTCTAGACCCGCACAGGCCCAGGACCCTCCACAATCTTCCAGCCTCATTTCCCATCACTTACCACGAACAATCTTACCTGAACCACCACTCTCTCAAGCTTGCAGGCTATATTCTACCAAGAGACATATAAGAGCCAAATGTGCCTTGTAACAGAACTCAAAGCAGAGAAAACCACAAGAATGAAACAGCAAAGACTCTTGGTTTTGATTCTTGCCCTTTTGGGAGGTGGAGGGGAAGCCATTCATGCCCCTGGATTTTGAGATATATTCCTATATCTTTATAACAATTTCTCTTTTTTTCTTTTTGCTTAATTTAAGATGAGTTGTTTTCTGTGACTTACAACCAAAGACTCTTAACTGATATTTATGTCTTTTCTTTCCCACCACACGGTATGCTCTTGGGGGTCAGCACAACACCTCATTCATCTCTGTCCCTCCGAGTGCCTGGCACACAGCAGATGATGAATAATAAACGTTGGGTGAATTGGTGCTCATTATCTCCTGGTTTCTAGCTTACCTAGCTGCCTCTTGGACTCTGCCCAAGTGGGCTCATTGCCTCGAAGAATCATGACTGCCTGCATCACTATCTCCACTTGGGCGGGGGGCCGTCCATAGGACTTGATCTCTCCTATGTCCTTCTTGTTCAGAGACTCCAAAGCCTGGGGGGAAAGGATTCACTTAGGGCAAAGGGCCTAAGTCAACTCAGGTGGCAAGGCAGGTCCTTTATGGGGACAAAACCCAGCTCTTCTTCCCCCTCCCCCAGGGACTCGGAGACTCTTTCCTGGGTCTTCCCCCCTCCAATACCCGCATGGCCTCTTCCAGGGCTGGCAATGCCTCTTCAAGATCCTTCTGGGCATTGTCAGCCAGTGCCTGGCACTTGACTTCCTCAATTGCGATCTTCTCACTATGGGCTGTGACGGCCTAGGAAGGAAAAGAGGATGAGGGGTTTGTCTTCGCCTGGGGCAGAGGTGGGGGTGACGATGTTGGAGGTAACAAGGAAAGAAAATGCTACAACAGTTTTGAGGAATGGAACATGCATTCCGACAGAGTAACTGAGGGAGACCGGAAGCCTCTGCCTGGTGAGCACTGGGAGGAGAGGGGCCTGAGGGGGCAGGATGCTGCCGGGGCCCCACCTTCTGCTGCTCATCCGCTTCCCGCTTCTGCTGCACATGATGACCAAGGTACTCCTCGCACTGTTTCTGGAACTCAGCCACCTTTTTCTTGGCATCCTCCAGCTCCACAGACATCATCTCCACCTTTTCCCTCGTCTCATCGATCTTAAACAATCCTGTCCGCAGCTTATTGGCCTGGTCCAGCAGCTCCTGCCGCTTCTCTGCCAGCAGCCTGGGGGACAAAGGCGAGCACAGTGCTGGGAGAGGCTGGACTCCCAGAAAAGGGGGGGGGGGACCAGCTCCTGCCGCTTCTCTGCCAGCAGCCTGGGGGACACAGGCGAGCATGGTGCGTGGAGAAGCTGGACTCCCAGAAAGGGGGGGGGTCCCCTAGACCAGCGGTTCTCAACCTGTGGGTCGAGACCCCTTTGGGGGTCGAACGACCCTTTCACAGGGGTCGCCTAAGACCATCAGAAAACACATATATAATTACATATTGTTTTTGTGATTAATCACTATGCTTTCATTATGTTCAATTTGTAACAATGAAAATACATCCTGCATATCAGATATTTACATTACAATTCATAACAATAGCAAAATTACAGTTATGAAGTAGCAACAAAAATAATTTTATGGTTGGGGGTCACCACAACATGAGGGTCGCGGCATTAGGAAGGTTGAGAACCACTGCCCTAGACAGTCTCACTTCCCAGTGTGTCTCAGCTCCCTGTCTTCCTGTCTGTTGCCACCACACTCTGGTCAGGTTTTTATTCTTTCCTTCCTGGATCATAGACAACAGCTTCCCAACTGGACTTCGTGCTTCCAGACTCTCATCCCTCTGATTTATTCTACCTCTCAGCTTGCTAGTCTTCGTTTTCACCACACCATTTCCCCCCCGGGAATCTGCCTCTGTCCCTCAGGGTGCGGCAGGCAGGGGGACTGCGTGAACTAGAAAAGAAACCTGCCCCGAGAGGGTGGCCATCTTTGTCTCTAGCCTGGTTTTTTCATGTGGGAATGAGTGTGGGCTCAGTATTGCCAAAATTTCTGATTTTCAGAGAGAAGTTGAAAATCTGGATTTTTCTAAGGCTCCTGAGTTTTAAATGTTGGCACCTCATTCAAAAAGTTTTAACATTGTCCAAGCCATAAAAACTGTCTATGCAGAATTGTTTTCTGGACTAAATAAGAAAATGCATGTAGAGGGCTTAGCATGGTAACCAGCAAATATGATCCAGGGAAGGCAAGGACTTGACTTTGCTAGCTGGTATATTGTAAGTATCTAGAATAGTGCCTGGCACATAGTAGGTGCTCAACAATACATATTTCATTAAGGACTAAATGTTGACTATCATTATTATTACAAATGGCATTTTCTTCCCCTTGATTAAAATACTGAATCCAATAAATGAGGGTTGTTGTTTTTTTACATTTCTCTTATATCCTTCAAAACAAATTATTGTTGTGTTAAGCACATAAAAATACTCAATACACCTTAATAAATAAATATGTAATTCTTGGGAATGGTGGAAAGTCTAGAAGATATTAAAGGCAGAGAGGAGAGGACGGGTGTATATATTATGGGTAAAGTGGCAGTGTCACCATTGTATTGTGGTTGGAAAAAGAAACATCATTCCAGAAAATAAGGACAAAGAGTGTGAAGAGGGCTCTAGAGACTGTCACACCCCTGGAGGATCCATCTCTCCTTTATTCATTTCCTGGCAAACTTAAAACCCCTTGCATCTCTATTCCTCCACATCAGTGCCCAGGTCCTTGAGCCAGTCCTCTTGGCCAGCTCCCAGATATTTTCCATGATATCATTTCAGTAATTGTCAAAAGACAACACCAAGCTCCCTGGCCCTCTATGTCCCCAACTCTTCGTCATACTTCTTATATCCAGATACAAGTTCCAGGTAGTTGGTGGGTGTGACATAGTTGTATCTTCGCAGTTCCAACAGCATCTTCTGGGAATATTGAGCCACTGACCAGTGCATGGTGACGAAGATCTGGGCCACCTTCCTGTGGATCTGAGGCCAAAGGATAAAGGATATAGGACAGAGAGTGGTGGCAAATGGAGAAGGAAACAGAGAAGAGCCCAGGGGGTGTGGAGAGAGATGGGAAGGAGGGTCTCACATTCTCCTGAGTTCCCAGGTCTACTCCCATGAGGTACTCAGCCACTTCTTCTAGCAGGGCTTCACGGGGCCACTCTGAGAACCAGTTGATTGTAGTGCAGTTCACCAAGGCTGGGTACTGGCGGATCCAGTTCCTGGCGAGGGGTTTTGAGAGGCAGTTAAGTCCACCTGCAGAGTCAGCCTCCGGCTACTGGCTTTGTCACAGGTCCACCTACTTTCTAGGAACCTGAGTGCTCCTATATCTCCTTGTCCAGATTCTGCTCCTCTCAGAACTAGTTCCTGGGCAAACTTAAAACGTATTTAGAAACAGGTTCTGAGGCCAGAAAAGCCAGATTCCACATTTTTAGGGGTGCATCTTGGGCAAGTGAACTAATCTTTTGAATGTCAGCTTTCTAATCTCTAAAATGAGAATAACAAAGCATACCAACTAGGGTTGTTAGGAGATTCAGTGGGGTGACATGTAAAATACGGTGCCTGGTACATGGTAAATACACCATAACTATAAAAGAACAACATGGATGAACCTTGAGGACATTATGCTAAATGAACTAAGCAAATCACAAAAAAGACTCTATGATTCCAGTTAGATGAGATATATAGAAATAGAAAGTAGATGGTGGTTGCCAGGAGATGGGGGAATGGAAGAAATGGGAAGTTATTCAGTGGGTGTGGAGTTTTATTCTGCAAGATGAAAAATTTTAGAAATCTGTTGTACTACCATGTGAATATACTTAACACTACTGAGCTGTACACTTAAAAATTGTTAAGATGGCCCTGACTGGTTTGGCTCAGTGGATAGAGCGTCGGCCTGCGGACTGAAGGGTCCCAGGTTCGATTCCGGTCAAGGGCATGTACCTTGGTTGTGGACACATTCCTAGTAGGAGGTGTGAAGGAGGCAGCTGATCAATGTTTCTCTCTCATTGATGTTTCTATCTCTCTATC